TAACAATGCACAAGCACCAGAAGAGAGACTAGATAAATGGGAGCTCCTAAAAATCAAACACTTAGGCTCATCAAAAGACTTCACCAAAAGAGTAAAAAGACAATCTATGGACCAGGAAAAAATTTTTGGCTAAGACAAATCCAATCAGCGATTAATCTCTAAAATCTACAAAATACTGCAAAACCTCAACAAGAAAAAGACAAACAACCCAATTGCAAATAGGCAAAGGATATGAACAGGCATTTCACCAAAGAAGACATTGGCGGCTAACAGATAAATGAGGAAATGATCACGATCATTAGCCATTAGAGAAATGCAAATCAAAATGACAAGGAGATACATCTCACCCAGACAAAGCTAGCATTAATCCAAAAAACACAAAATAATAAATGTTGGAGAGGTTGTGGAGTGACTGGAACACTTACACACTACTGGTGGGAATGTAAACTGGTACAACCAGTTTGGAAATAGATTTGGCCCTTCCTTAAAAAGCTAGAAATAGAAGTACCATAGGATCCAGCAATCCCACTCCTTGGAATATATCCTAGAGAAATAAGAGCTGTCACAGGAATAGATGTATGCACACCCATGTTCACTGCAGCAGTGTTCACAATAGCAAAAAGATGGAAACAACCTAGGTGCCCATCAACGGATGAATGGGTAAACAAATTATGGTCTATTCACACAATGGAATACTAGGGAACAATATAGAACGATGATGAATCAGCGAAACATCTCACAATATGGATGAATGTGGAATGCACTCTGCTGAGTGAAATTAGTCAGTCACAAAAGGACAAATATTGTATGAGACCACTATTATAAGGACTCAAGAAAAGGTTTAAACACAGAAGAAAACATTCTTTGAAGGTTACAAGAGTGGGGAGGAAAGGAAAGTGGTATTTGCTACTAGATAGTAGATAAGAATTATCTTAGGTGAAGGGAAGGACAGCACACACTACAGCAGAAGTCAGCACAACTGGACTAAACCAAAAGCTAAGAAGTTTCCTGAATACAGCCAAACACTTCGAGGGACAGAGTAACAGGGGTGAGGGTCTGGGGACCATGGTTTTAGGGGACATCTAGGTCACTTGGCATAACAAAGTTTATTATGAAAATGTTCTGCATCCCATTTTGGTGAGTGGCATCTGAAGTCTTAAAAGCTGGCGAGTGGCCATATAAGATGCAGCAAGTGGTCCCAAGCCACCTGGAACAAAGGAAAATGAAGAACACCAAAGACACAAGGAAAATATGAGCCCAAGAAACAGAAAGGGCCACATAAACCAGAGACTCCATCAGCCTGAGACCAGAAGACCTAGATGGTGCCCAGCTACCACCAATGACTGCCCTGACAGGGAACACAACAGAGAGTCACTGAAGGAGTGGAGAAAGTGTGGGATGCAGAACTCAAATTCTAGTAAAAAGACCAGACTTAATGGTCTGACAGAGACTGGAGGGACCTCAGAAGACATGGCCCCTGGTCTCTCTGTTAGCCCAGAACTGAAACCATTCCCAAAGCCAACTCTTCGGACATAGATTAGACTGGACTATAAGACATGAAATGATACTTGTGAAGGAGTGTGCTTCTTAGCTCAAGTAAATACATGAGACTAAATGGGCAGCTCCTGTCCAGAGGCAAGATGAGAAGGCAGAGAAGGTCAGGAGCTGGTTGAATGGACAGGAGAAACCCAGGGTGGAAAGGAGGAGTGTGCTGTCACATTATAGCGAGAGCAACTAGGGTCACATAACAATGTGTGTATAAATTGTTGTATGAGAAACTAACTTGAATTGTAAACTTTCACGTAAAGCACAATTAAAAAAAAGAGCTATATTACTTCCTACAAAATGCTAAAAAATGTCTACTTGATAGAAATGTATATGTCTATCACATAGACATATACATTTGAATATACATATATATATTTATAAAATTTATATTTGAACATTTTCTATTTACCAATCAGTGTTCTAGATGCTGGGAGTACAGAAAATAGTTTTTGCCACAGAGAAGTTTACAATCCATAAAAGAGAAACAGATACATAAAAAAATTATTTTAATACTGAGGTATTAAAATTCAACTGGGTCCTACTTACAGCTAAGATAGATAAAAACGGGATGCCTTGGTTTTGTTTCTTGATCTGGGGGATGGTTACATGGGTGTGTTGACTCTCTGAAAAGCCATTAAGCTGTACCCTTATGGTGTGTGTACTTCTCTGTATGTATGTTATACTTCAATACAATTAGCATCTAAAAATCTTAAATGAAACAAAATGACTTGGGAGCCCAGGGGACATAGCAACAAATCAATGTTTTTAAATTGTGGCAAATATATCAGTGACAAAAGATTTGCCATTTCAACATTCTTCACGTGTACAGTTCGATGACATCGTTTCCATCCTGTTGTGCAGCCAAAACCACTATTGGTTTCCGAATTTTTCCATCACACTCAACAGACGCTCAGTGTCTCCTGAATATTAACTCCCCTTCCCCACCCTCCCGCCCGCCTCTGCTAACCCCTAATACACTTAGGTCTCTGTATACTTGCCTATTCTAGATATTGCAGCTAAGTGGAATCATAAAATATTTGTCCTTTTGTGACTGACTCATTTCACTCAGCATAACGTTTTCAAGGTTCATTTATGCTGCAACATGTATCAGGACAGCATTTCTCATTAAGGCAGAGCAATATTCCACTGTATGTGTGTTTGAAGGAGCCCTGGTGGTGCAGTGGTTAAACGCTCAGCTTCTAACCGAAGGGTTGGCTGTTCAAACTCACTGGCCGCTCTGTGGGAGAAAGAGGTGTCAGTCGGCTTCTATAGAGATTACAGCCTTGGAAACCCTACGGGGCAGTTCTACTTTGTCCTGTAGGGTTGCTATGTGTCAGAGTCAGCTTGACGGCAATGGTTTTTTTTTAATGCATGTTCCACATTTTGCCTATTTGTTGATGGCCTCTTGGGTTGTTGCATCTTTTGGTATTGTACGCAAAGAACCGATTTTGACTTGAGCCTCAGTGACTGGCGGTTTTCTCTTCTGCCTGGTGTCTAACTGATGACTGGCTCCTTTCTCCAAACGCCATCTGTACCATCCTATGATGCCAGCCTCTCTCACGCGGCTCCAAATCATTTGTGTCTTCCTCGGCACCTTCAACTACAATCTCCACTGATGTTTTTTGTTTCCCCCCCAAGAGAGAACTAAGAGAGTGTCTTTTTGACAATGGTTCCAGCTGATTTCCTTCTCTCTAGGATCAGACCTTGGCTTGATATTCTGTTAGTCACACAGGATCTACCTACAGAGATGACCCACATCAAAGCACACACACGTTATGGATGGCAGAAGTCCCTGGGTCTAAGTCCTTCTCCTCTGAGGAAACAGCCCAGAGGGTGCCAGCATGCTTTCTCGGGGTTGGCTTATTCTGGCAAAAATCCATTTTGTATCTCTTCAAATAAGCTTGGAGCAAGGAAACATAAAATGCCATGAAACCAGTCTTTCTTAGGCAGATACTTGACTTGAAGCCCAAACATGAAGTTAACTGATTTTCTTTGCTTTATTCTACTACTATGTATCATTTTACAGTTTAGCATAAGCAAATTGACATGTTTACTAACTACATAATACAATTTTTTAAATGATTCTGAACTAAGACATATTATTTAGATTTGTTAGAATTTGGCAGCCCACTTCTCCCCACCAAACACAAGTTATGTATTTATCGTAGATTGAATTGTGTCCCCTAAAAATATACGTTGAGCCGCTAAGCTCTGGTACCTGTGAACATGGCCTTGTTTGGAAATAAAGTCAACAGAAAACGTTAAGATCAGTTAAGTTCACATAAGGTCATACTGGAGTAGGGTGGGTCCTAATCCGATCTGAGTGGTGGTCTTGTGAAAGAGGAGAAGAGAGACAGAAAGAAGGATCCAGAAGGAAGACTGCTCTGTGACCACAGAGAAGCTGCAAGCGAAGGAATGCCAATGATGGCTAGCTATTGCCGGAAGCTCAAAGGGAAGCATGGAACGGATTCTCACTAAACACCTCAGAAGGAATCAATATAGCTGACACCCTGAATTTGGACTCCTAGCCTCCAGAACCGTGGGATGATAAATTTCTGTCTTTTAAAGCCACCTAGTTTGTGATACTTTGTCATGGCAGCCCTTGGGAAGGTAATAGTGTGCAGTGTCTAACAACCTCTGGCCTCAATAACATTTTAGCTTAAAATAGAAGATAAATGTATACGCGTTTGTTACTGAACACACTAGGAAACACTCAGTAAGCCACCGCCTCAGACAAGACTTTCATGGTTGGCAGTGTTTCTTTTAGAAACAAAAGTGCCTGGCAAGTTAATTTAACAAGGACAATTCACACATTTGTTCCACTTAATTGTGATAAGATGTTATTCCATTCGATTGTGTTTTCGTTTTGTTCTATTATTTGGCTATCCTTCCAAAGTGATTTTACTATAAGCAGAAATTAGAAGATTTCAAAGAAAATGTATTTTTTAAAATAACACAAAACTTATTTGTAAGTTTCTGTCTTCTTGATTAAAATAAAGTGTGAGGATAGCCATACATACTTTATTGTGTGTGCCAAGTAGGAAAAAAAAAAAAATTCTGGGCTCTTCTATCAATGAACCTATGTGGGCAATACCTTTGTATTCAAACCTTTGTAGTTAAAACCTTGCTCCTCCCTTTCTTTAGATTCTCTTCCCCTCAGTGCTCATATGCACCCTCTTTCTTTGTTACCATTGTTAAACTCACTGTCAGGAAAGCTTGATAAGCTGATTTACACTAGAGTGTAAACAGTTGATACCAACAATAAGAATTAGCTCACTTAAACACACTGGTATTTTAACAGGAATCCGATGCTGAAGCCAAAGGTCTTTAGCAAAGTGTGAGATGGGGAGTGTATGTGGACTGAAGCCTTTGAAAGCCCACACGAGATGCTCATTGTGGGGACACGTGCATGACCTGCCTGCTTGTGCAGAGCTGACACCAACAGGGATTGGCTAGCACACAGACACTCTGCCTGGGGTACCTGGTGGCAGGGGCCCAGATCCATTCACAAGGGCATGTCCAGCAGGCTGGAAGCAGCTCCTCTTTCCCGAACAGTCTCTGAAGCCTCAGGTTCTGGGAAGTAGTGCTGAGGGTGCGGACTGCCCTTCTGTACCCTCTGCTTCTCTGTGAATTCCAGGTGGGCTGAGGTGTATCTGCTCGTGGCCGTGGCAGATACAGCCATGCAGAGGGCTGAAGAACCCCAGGTGAGGCTGTCAGCAAAAGGCATAGTTAGGAAAAGGGCCTGAGGCTGCGACTCCCAGATCCTGGTTGTACCCAACTGGGAGCTGCATTTTTGGATCTTAAGTCCCAGAGACCATCCAATGTACTGTCACGGGATGGAGTCATCCTGCTGAGTTGGCACCATGCCCCACCTCCTATCAGCTGTGTGACCTTGAACTGATGACTTCACCTCTCTGTATCGCTTTCCTTATCTGTAAAACTGAAGTAATACTCATGTTGCCACACAGGGTTGCTGGGAGGACTCACGTGGGAAGTGCTTAGCATAGTGTCTGCTACACAGTAAGTGCTTGTTGTTGTTGTCCCTGTTGTTGTCATCTCTGACTCAGAAATACTTGTAAAAATTAACTTCTGCAGACGGGGAAGATTGAAAGTAAGGCAAGTTCAAAATCTAATAAATCACGAAGCATATAGCTAACAGCAAACAGACATGTTCACAATATCTTAGAATAATAGGGTGAGGGAGTGAGCTCTAAAAGTGTTATTTGTTTTACAAAGAGGAGAGTAACATGAGAACTTGCTATTTAAGATAAAAATTTAAGTATACATACACACATTTTTAAGATGTAGATATGCTTCTGAGGCCCACATCAAAGAGAACCGCGTGACCTTAGATGACGTGTCTGAGAGTTTCTATTAGAGACAGAACTTCTATGTCACGTCCCTGTCCTTCTGTCAGAAACAGGGGCTGGATCTCCTCTCATTGAAACGTTTCTTACGAGTTATATCTCTGGACATTTTCCCCTCAGCTGTGTTTAAGATGCAAACAACCAAGTGTCTCCATTTCTTGAAGACTTACTATGCACCAAGCATTTTATAAACACCATCTCTTTAAATTCTATAAAAATATGCGAGTCAGGTATCATTACTTTACAGATGAGGAAATTGAACTACAAAAAGTTAAGAAACTAACCCAAATTCATAAGAGTAAGAGGTGGCAGAGCTATGGCCAAGATCAGTTGCCCTACGAAACCTATGTGCATCCCTCTTGGTCCACCAGGGCTTGAGCACCATGACCAGCAACTCACCAGTATGACCAGCCATAGTCCCATGGTTGTGGCCTCCTATCTTCTGGTCCAAGGATATTTGAACAATCGTTGTATATGTCATGTGGTCCACCATGCCTAGGAGCCCTGCACAAGGAAAGCTTTTGTGAGCTACATTTAAAAATGCAATAAAATGGAAGAGCTTCTCTACCTTGCAAGAAGTTGATATAAGGCAGCCTTCCAGCATCTTCCTTAACCCTTCCAAGCAGCCACCCATGTCTCAGGTGTACACTTGCCCAGTGTCACACAGCCATGAAGTAGCAGAGATCTGAACCCAGGCAGGATTTCTCCACAGACTCCTGCTTAACCTCTGTAACTAAGTGAGACAATTTCTATTCTCAGAGCCAGTGCATCCTCTCCCCACAGAACTAAAGACACACCAATAAATCTTACTCAAACCACAATTACTTCCACCCAACGGGATTAATTCAGTGACTTATCCAGTAGACCAGCTGTCCTGCTGAACTGGCTATTGGCAGGAAAGAGCCAGCCTGTTCTTTGGCAGTGGGTAAACCCAACCTGAAGCTCTGCCATTCCCTCTGGGGCAGGCTGAGACAAATGTTCCTGTGGTAGTGATGATGTTGGAAAGTACCTGCAAGCACCATGAGGATGGCTACAGAGGCATCCACCTTGAGCCAGTTGAACCCAGAGTCATGATAAGTCACTCTGAAGCCCAGGAGGATGGCACTTGCCAACATCAGAAGGATATTCAGGATCTCAGCCCCTATAGACAACCCCAAAACACCTGCAAAACACAGAGATGGCAGAAATGCTGGCGTTTAGAATTCAGAGGTGGTGGAACGCTCAATCCTTTGATTTAGTTCACCTCTACATTCTGAAATAAACACCATGGAGGGACAATCAGATGCCTCTGCTGAATCTTGGGAAATTGGCACTGAAAGGGGGCTCCTTGGACCTGAAAGAGGAGTCTATAAAGAGCGTATACAGCTGGGAGAAAAAAAAAAAAGCAAGAGCTAAGCAAAATTCTGTTGTGAGAACATAAGAAATACTAGGTATCTCTACTTCCCAGTCCAGAAAGTCAATGTGTTGTTTCGAATCCACCAGAAAACGTTATCTTTGCCTTTGTAAAGAAAAAGATATTCAAACTTAAACAGGGGACAGGGCAGTCTGAGAGCTGAAGGGCTCTGGCTAGAGGTACCTATACCACGTTTATGTCTGTGGGAGTCACTTGTTTGCCCTTTGGATGGGATCCAGCCTGTGGCTTCAGGAACTTTATCAGATGTGGAAGGAGTGGAGAATCTAGGAGACAGGAAGGGAATTTAATACTTGTAAAAGGCCTACTACAAGCCAAGGTACTGAGGGTACAGGAATGAATGAAACAGAAATGATCCCCACCTTCTCAAAGCCCATATTCCAGCTGGGAAAACAGATACTAAGAAAGTAATTACAAAACAGATGAGTGTTACAGAGAAGAAAGTGTGCTGGAGGCAGTGATGTGTTGGAGCTCATCAATTCCCCACTATGTTCAGCTCACATCGACAGCTTGAAATTGGCCACAGTAGGAGTATTGACATCATGGGAAACAGCAAATGCTACCAGTCATGGCTTCTCCTAGGGCACGTGGAGGGAGTCTGTGGTTCTAGGTTTTGGACTGGACTTCACGGAACAACTGTAAGTAATTCTCTAGTCTTTTTTTCCCAAGTCCCAACAAAAACAATAAAAACTGTCCAAATTTATGAGGTGTGATAATGGATAGGAGCATGATGTCTTAGTTATCTAGTGCTGCCATAAAAGAAATACCACAAGTGGATGGTTTTGACAAAGAGAAATTTATCTTCTCACAGTCTAGGAGGCTAGAAGTCCGAATTCAGGTTGCCAGCTCCAGGGGAAGGCCTTCTCTCTCTGTTGGCTCTGGTGGAAGGTCTTTGTCATCAATCTTCTGCAGTTGAGGAGCATCTCAGGGCAGGGATCCTGGGTCCAAAGGATGCTATGCTCCCGGTGCTTCTTTCTGTGGTATGAGGTCCCCATGTCTCTCTGCTCGCCTCTCTCTTTTATATCTCAAAAGAGATTGATTTAAGACACAACCTAATCTTGTAAATTGAGTCCCGACTCATTAAGATAACTGCCCACTAATCCCACCTCATTAATATCACAGAGGTAGAATTTACAACACGTAGGAAAATCACATCAGATGACGAAATGGTGGACAATCACACAATACTGGGAATCATGGACTAGCCAAGTTGATACACGTTTTGGGGAGACACAATTCAATCTATGACACATGAGTAAGGTGTTTACCTTTTTCTTAAACTGGTATTATACTCTGGAAACTGCTACACTTCTCACCTAAAAGATAAAGAGAATGTATCCATAAGTAGAGTTAACTGTGACAGAGGGTGTCTTAGTCATCTAGTGCTGCTATAACAGAAGTACCACAAGTGGATGGCTTTAACAAACAGAAATTTATTCTCTCACAGTCTAATAGGGTAGAAGTCCAAATTCAGGGTGCCAGCTCCAGGGAAAGGCTTTCTCTCTCTGTTGGCTCCAGGGGAAGGTCCTTGTCATCAATCTTCCCCTTGTCTAGAAGCTTCTCCGCACAGAAACCTCAGGTCCAAAGCTCCTGGTGCTTCTTTCTTGGTGGTATGAGGTTCCCATGTCTCTCTGCTCACTTCTGTCTTTTATATCTCAAAAGAGATTGACTCAAGACACAATCTAATCTTATAGATTGAGTCCTGCCACAGTAACATCATAGAGGTAGGATTTACAACACATAGGAAAATCACATCAGATCATAAAATGGTTGACAACATACATCCTGGGAATCATGGCCTAGCCAAGTAGACACACATTTTTGGGGTACACAATTCAATCCATAATAATAGGGGGCAAACTATGTTTCTAGTCCCTTAATTGTATCCCCTACCACCCATCTCAGTTTGTTATACTGTGGTAGGTTGCGCGTTACTGTGATGCTGGAAGCTATGCCATCTATATTTCAAACTCCAGTAGTGTCACCCATGGTGGACTGGGGTCAGCAGAGCTTCCAGACTAAGACATACTAGGAAGAAATGCCTGCCCATCTACTTTTGAAAACAGCCAATGAAAACCCTATGGATCATAGCAGAATATCGTCCCATATAGTGTTCGGAGATGAGTCCCTTAAGTTAGAAGGCACTCAAAATACACAGTGGCCGAAACAATGGGCTCGAACATACCAAAGATCATAAAGTTGGTGCAGCACTGGGCAGCATTTTGTTCTGTTGTACATGGGATTGCTATGAGTCAGAGCCGACTTGACCGCAAGTAACAACAACAAATTGTATCCCAGATCATTTGGAACAAAGAATGGGGAGGGTGGTGGACTACTTCGTTGTTCACGGGTATGTGGTGCCCCTCCTTATGGGAGCATGATACAGTCCTGCACTATTGAACTTGGGCTTGGTTGTGTGACTTTCTTTGGCCAGTGAACTGGGAGCAGAAATGAAGCAGGTCACTTCTGGTCAGAAGCTTTAAGAGCCCCGATTGCTCCCCACGTTCTCTTTCCCTTGCCTCTGTGATTATAGAGCACATATCAAGATGGGTCCCCATCAGCCTGGGACCTGAATGGCTATAATGAGAAAAGACTTCTTACTGCCCTGAAAAGTACACATAGCATGAGCTAGAAATAAATACCCTGGTTTAAACCACTGGGAATTTCGGGTTTGTTTGTTATTGCAGCATAAACTAGCCCATTTGGACTGAAACTGTGAGACTTAGACCAGTGATTCTCAGCTTTAGAAACAGCCTCTATTGTGATATGAGTCTCAAATAATTTATTACTGCTTACATGGAAAGTAATAAAGATTGTAATGACTTTTTTTTAATATAGAGCAGATTCAGAATTATCTGTTACTAGCACCTTTCTGTCACTTGCATTACATTGTGCTTTCTTGAGTGTGAAAGAAAAGGGAGGAGTTATTGTCGGAGTCCTTGTGTGGTGCAAGGAGTTTGCCTAAAGGTTGGCAGTTCAAACCCACCCAGAGGCTCCACAGAAGAAAGGCCTGGAAAACTGCTTCCATAAAGATTACAACCAAGAAAAGCCTATGGATCAATTCTACTCTGTAACAAATGGGGTAGTCATGAGTTGGAATCAACTCAACGGCAACGGTTTAGATGGTTTGTGCACCAGATATTGGGAAGACTCCACAACCCACAACCAAGCTTAGTTATGTGGTCACGGAGGCTGTGCTTTGCATGTGAGCATCATCTGTCATGTTGCACACACTGGATGAAAAGTTTGAGTCACTACCTTAGATACATAATTCTTTTGAAAGGGCCAAGTCGATGAATATCCACTTGATGTAGAGAGGTAATCAAATCCTGGTTTGGGGGTGAGTGACAAATGGGGAATTGAGACCATAACGAGTCACCCTCTGGGGTCCTTGCCTCACTGTCTCTCCATTAACACTTCACCCCAAAATGGAATCACAGGATATAGAGTGGGCGGAGCCTTGGAAGTTACCTGGTTCATCCTTGCACAGTTTGGAGGAGTGAGTCCAACGACCACAAAGGGACAATGACTTGTACTGGACAGCACAGGTAGTGGCAGTTTTAGTATTAGAACTCAGGTCTGGTGAAGCTGTTCTACTCCAGCACTGGCTTAATGCAATCCAACGATAGTAGTGGAGGAGCCGGGGAATGCAAAGATGACTGAGACTCAGGAAGGTGGGCCCAGTCTGGTCTGGTAGCAGCTAAAGGAGCAAGGTAGGGCACATGTGCACGCATATATCATTGACTCTCCAAAGGAATGGCTTCCTCATCTCCGAAACAGGCTTAATCATCTCCACTTTAACCTTGCTTTGAAGATAAAGCAGATAATAGATGTGAAGCCTTCTTCTATATGTAATATGCACTTAAATCTTATTGAAATAAAATGAGCTCTGTGGGCTTTCTGCATGTAGTGAGCATGAATCATTATTTATTCCTAGACTTTGAGTATCCTAAAGGCAAGGGTCAGGTCACTTACCTTTTCTGGAAGTTTTCAGAATCAGAAGGAAGTTGGAGGAGCATCTTTAGACTTCAGAAAATATTTTTTCTTTGATAGAGAAGAAAATTCCAGGTAACTTTCTTATTCAAGAACTTAAATGACTCCCTACTTCCTCCAGCATTAAATCTAAATTCCTCTTTCTAGCTTTTATGTTCTCCTGCCATCAACCTGACCTCCCAAGACAGAGCCCATCTTTTACTTCCTTACCAAGACCTAGTAGTCACCTTCTACTGCGTCCAGGATCAAGTGGGAAGGATCATATGTATCAGCAAGCACATGATTTTGATGATATATGTATAAAGGTCAGAGTCCCTGGTGCAAATGGTTAACATGCTTGGCTGCTAACAGAAAGGTTGAAGGTTTGAGTCCACCCAGAGACACCTTGGAAGAAAGGCCTGGCGATCTACTTCTGAAAAATCAGCAGTTGAAAACTCTATGGAGTGCAGTTCTACTCTGACACACATGGGGTCTCCATGAGTTGGAGATGACTCAATGGCAACTGATTTTTTGTCTAAAGGTCATAAACCTTGAGATTTACCATGCTCATCCTCATGAAATCCCAAGTGCCCATGTCCTTAATCCTTCATACTTCTGCACTGCCCCACTGCTGAGCTATGGAAAGAAAAGAAAGGAAGGGTGGTTTATGATATAACCAATTGGCTGGGATGCTTTCTGACTGAATGTGTAGGCAGGGCTTCATTTGTCACATAACCGTCCACACAGATGGCATTAAGGGGGTGTTTACCCAATCCGGGGCTGAGAGTAACAAAATTAGGCACCCAGTTTTAATCTCCAGTCACAGTGGCCTCTGCAGAGTTTTAATTAAGTCCATTTTGGATTTATGGGATTGGAAATATTTTTGAGTTTATTCTCTGATTTTAGCAGCAGTATCCGTATTATGGTTACAATAGCAACAATTAGTCCGAGGCTTCCTGCATCTACCAGGGAGGTCCCCTAGCACTGGGGAATTATGACACTCACTCTATACTGTCTTACAGAGCACTTGGGGCTTATTATGGTTGAATTGTGTCTCCCTCACCAAAAAGAAGTTATGTTGAAGTCCTAACCCTCGGTACCTGTGAATGTGACCTTATTTGGAAATAGGGTTGTTGCAAATGTAATTAGTTAAGATGAGGTCATTAGGATGAGCCTAATCTCTTTATGACTGGTGTCATTACAAAAAGAGAGGAGGAAACACAGAGACAAACAGACACAGAGGGAAGATGGCCATGGGAAGACAGAGGCAGAAATTGCAGTGATGCTACCACAAGCCAAAAAACGCCTGGAAGAGACAAGAAAAGATCTTTCTCTCAAGCCTTCAGAGAGAGCACGGTCCTGCAAACACCCTGAATTCAGACTTCTGGCCTCCAGGACCATGAGACAAAAATTTCTATTGTTTTAAGCCACCCATGTTGTGGTCCTCAGGTATGGCAGATGTAGGAAATTAAGAAATGCAACACTTTTGGCATGTCACCTCCTCAGGTCCTCCCCACAACCCCGTGAGTCAGGCTGACAGGGAGAGCAACAGATGGACATCACGGACAGCATGGGGCCTTTACATCCATAAGGCCTGGCTTCTATGCCTGGTTCTGCCACAGTTGGTAACCACAGGAAGTTTCTTGACATTTCCCAGCCTCGCTTGCTTCATCTGCAAAATGGACAGAATAAAAGTACTCCAATGAGAAAGCTGTGAAAATATTTTATGAACTGCCTTACATATTTCTGTGTGTTTCATTACTGATAAGGCAAGTACCAATATCCCTGTTTCACAGATTTGGGGGCCAGGCTCTAACAGGTTGGTAGAGTCAGGAATTCAAACTGGGTTTTCCTGCTTGAGACCCAGTACCTTTTCCTACATCACCCCCTGCTGTCTCCATACGCAATGCCTGGAGGAGTAAGAGTCTAACTTGTCTTCTGAAGGGAGTTGCCTTTTCTGAGAGGACTAAGGAGGAGGCCAGGTACAGAGCCAGGGGCAGGGTAAAGAGCGTGTGGAGGCCAGCCAAGGAGATTAAGAGACTTCACAATAGCTTAGAAGGGCGAGCTTAACTCAGGCCAAGAGAGTCAGACCATAGTGACCCTTTGATTAATACAAATCCTCAGAAAATGGTGTTCCTTTTGAATAAGTCCAGCAGGATTAAAAGGAAAAATCTTTATAAATCCCTGAAGCCACAGAGGCGGGTGTTAAATAGCTTCTGAGTGCTTCTCCAGCCAAGCGGAGCAGCAAGCCAGCTCCAGGAACAGCGTCCAAGTTCTCGGAGCTTGACTTTGGCGTTTCCAATCTGCTTGTCACCCTCTTCCCCCTCACTCCCCTCTTTTAAGT